TTATACCCTTTCGTACATTATAAACCTATGCCTTTAAAGTTTATCAATTATAATAAAAAGTTAGAATCTCTAGAAGGTTTCTTTGGATTTGTTGAAGTAGAAGTTACAGCTCCAATACACCCTAAACCTATGCTACCTGTAAAGAAAAGAGGTAAAATTATCTTCCCTACAGGTACTTGAAAAGGTACCTATTTTAGCGAAGAGCTTAAAGCTGCAGCTAAGTTAGGATATCAATTCAAACTAGGAAAAGCCTTTGAATACTCTAAGGAGGTACTATTTAAAGATTATATTGATCACTTCTATAGTATCCAGAAAACTTCTACAGGTCCTCTTAAATTTATAGGTAGAATGATGCTCAATAATTTTTGCGGTGTGTTTGGTAGGGCTCTTAAAGGATTGAAACCACTTATCGTAGAGAATAAGGACGTGATGCCTATCATTACTATGAAGGGTAGCAAAGCATTGACAAATATAAATGATAAGTATACTATGATTATAACTCATAGAGATTATTATTTATATAACTTACAAGAATTAAATAGCCGCCTATACACTGTAAATGTGGATACAATATATAGTTATAATAGGTCCAACGATGCTATTGCTGCAGCTATTACTAGTTATGCTAGAATTCAAATGATGGAGTTGAAACTTAACTATGATGTATGCTACATCGATACAGACTCTATCTTTACTACACATCCACTACCTGAATACTTAATTGGTTCTGACTTAGGCCTGCTTAAAGATGAACTAGGAGAATTAACTATTGATAGAGCCTATTTTCTAGGTATTAAGAAATATGGCTATACCTATAAAGATTTAAAAGGCAACAGAGTAGACAAGTCAGTATGAGAAGGTATAACTAGAGATACTATCCCTTTTGAGGTAATAGAAACTCTAGCAGCTGGAGCTACTCATAACATCAAAGTTGAAAAAAGGTTCTTTAGGGATTACGCTAACTTGGATGTGATTAATAAATCTATTAATAAGCAGGTTGTAGATAAAAAAGAGAAACTTCTAGTAGGTAACCAATACTATCCAGCTTGTATTAATAACCCGGACTGTTATTACAGAGAACAAAAGCAACAAGCAGACTACAATAGGGTTCCAAAGTACGCCCCTAATGAAGAGAACCTAAGGTAATAGAGCTTATACTAATTATTAGTTGGAGGGATGCACTACAGGCCATGCATATGGAGGGTATACGATAACAACCTACCATGCCTAGATAGCCCCTCTTCGTCGTCATACTATTTTACAATAATACTCCTAGAATTCACCCACCATCATACCTTACACTATTATAATTATAATTATAAGGAGAATAGGACTATAATCTTACTGTAGACACATCTTACACCACCCTGTAATATTATAATTAAAACAACTATATTTATAAGATATAAGACATCCATACTATTTAACCAGATATAATAACACAATAAAACTATACTATCCCTAATATATTAATAAAAGAGGTGTATATAAATACAGCCAACGGTAGTCATGAGGAATATCCTCGCCCTTTTTCCATAAGGGATGGTTAGATGACCCATTATCAACAATTAAAAAAAATAAAATGAAAATAAAAATTACGGTTAGTTATAGAATAAATATAGACTTATATAATACTATATACAACTTTATAAAACAGTCCTTAAATAGCAAAATATGAACAGGTGATCTGTCTAGTTGTAGTTTAAGAATAAGCTATAAAGAACTTAACGATAATAAGTTAAAGTATACTACTGTCTTTATTAAAAATAATGTACAAGACATGTACTATGAGAATATGGCTAAAGAGGCTATTCACAGATTAAACAGTCGAAGAATAGCCCTATCTTCTATTAAACGTCTACATATACATTTACATTAAGATTAACCCTATATCATTACGGATAATACAATAGCATTAAGCTATATAAGTCTAATTATATTAAATAAAAGTAGAAGAAGTGACACTAAGATTATTAGTTAAATTATAATTAGATTGTAGCTAGTCGTGACTATGATTCCCTAAAGGATCAAAGGAGACTGGTACTGAATACTAGATGTGAAATACTCTTTAATTATGATTAAATTAGCTAATGGCTATATAAGCCTAATTGTAAAGCCGCCTGTTTACACAGAACGGTACGCCTATTCTAGTTTTCCTTTAGCCCTGTTGTTTATATTAATAAATAGCAGCTAGAGAAGATTAGAAGGGCGGTGGTATGTTATTTAATAAATAACATCTAATGTAGATGAACTAATTATTCTAGTTAATTGCTCGTCTAATTGAAAAATAAAAAAAAAATAAAAAAATAAATGAATAGTATATTAAATTTAATATTTAATCCCATCTTAAATGATGCTCCTGAACCATGACAAATAGGTTTCCAGGACAGTGCTGCTCCAGGTTTTGAAGGTATTATCGATCTTCATGATTCTATTTTCTTCTATTTAATCGTTATCTCAATAGGTGTATTCTGAATGCTATTTAGTATAATGATTAACTTCAGTTATAAAAATTCACCTATAGTATATAAATACTCTAACCATGGTACATTAATTGAATTAATTTGAACAATTACACCTGCTTTAGTATTAATAGCTATAGCTTTCCCTAGTTTCAGATTATTATATATGTTAGATGAAGTGGTAACACCTATAATGACAATTAAAGTTATAGGACACCAATGATACTGATCATATGAATATGCTGATTTCGTTAATGAAAATGATGAAGCAATAGACTTTGATAGTTATATGGTACCTGATAGTGACTTAGAAGTAGGACAATTAAGATTATTAGAAGTTGATAATAAAATTGTAGTACCTGCTAATGCTCATATCAGATTAGTTGTTACATCAACTGATGTAATCCATGACTTTGCTGTACCTTCTTTAGGTCTTAAAATAGATGCTGTACCAGGAAGATTAAATCAAACATCATTCATAGCTCTAAGACCAGGAATATTCAGAGGACAATGCTCTGAAATCTGTGGAGTATACCATGGATTCATGCCTATAGCTTTAAAAGCTTTACCTTATGAAGAATTCTTATTCTGATTAGAATCAATGTCTTAATCCCATCTTTATTATGCCTATACCTAGGCATAAAAAGGATTAGTTCACTAAATTTTAATCTTTATAGCCTTTACCATCCAACCCTCTCCCTCGTCTAGCCCATTAGGGGCTTATGATTTATTTACCTTTTTTAACCTACTTACCTAGTACTAGCTCTGTAATCAGGACCTTGTTCTGATAGACTGGCTAGGTAAGGGAAAGATAGGAAGGGAGAGATTTATTAATAAAATGAGTATTATGGTTTAGGCTTATTTATAATATTAAATCTTTGTGATATTTAATACTATATAGCATAGTATTATATTACTATTTCAATAATAGACCTTCTCGTAGCTTAATAACTATTTAAATTCCAGCCCTATCCCATAAGCCCCTACCTTCCTTCCCTATCCCTATGGCTAGGGATACGGGTCAAGGCTAGGGCCTGGTAGGTATTTAGCAGGACGATAGTAAGGCATTATCACCTGTCTGTTATAAATAATAATATAAGATTTATAGAGCCGAGCCTATCCCTTTATCCTTTAAGGGCGGGGAGGCAAGCAGAAATAGATTTATATTACTACTCCTTCTGTCCTTTTCATCTACTAATTAAAGGGTGGCAGAGCCCTTATTAAGGCGAAGGAGGGCAGGTAAAAAGTAAAACAAATAAACATAAGATATGATAAATATCCTTTATAATTTATTAGAAGTTTTAATAGTTATAGTTCCAGTATTATTAGCTGTAGCGTTTATGACTATTATAGAAAGAAAACAATTAGCTGCAATGCAAAGAAGGGTAGGTCCTAATACAGTAGGATATTATGGAGTATTACAACCATTTAGTGATGCTTTAAAATTAATACTTAAAGAAACAGTAATACCAGCTCAATCAAATAAAGTATTATTCTATTTAGCTCCAGTATTTACATTAATCTTTAGTCTATTAGGATGAGGTGTAATACCTTTTGGTCAAGGTTTAGCTTTATCAGATTTCTCTTTAGGTATCTTATATACATTAGCCTTATCATCATTAGGAATATACGGTATTCTATTTGCAGGTTGATCAGCTAACTCTAAATACGCCTTTTTAGGATCTTTAAGAAGTACAGCCTCAATGATTAGTTATGAATTAATATTAAGTACAGCTGTTATAATAGTTATATTATTAACAGGATCATTTAATATAACAAGTATTATTGAAAATCAACAATCTATTTGATATATAGTGCCTTTAATGCCTGTATTTATATTCTTCTTCATATCAATATTAGCTGAAACAAGTAGAACTCCCTTTGACCTACAAGAAGCTGAATCAGAATTAGTAGCTGGTTTCTTCACTGAACACTCATCTATTATATTCGTTTTCTTCTTCTTAAGTGAATATAGTTCTATTGTTTTAATGTCTAGCTTAACTGCTATATTATTCTTTGGAGGATATCATTGTACAGAAATTTTTGAAAATAACTCTGTATTAAGTATTCAAAGTATTATTTTAGGACTTAAAACTTGCGTATTCTGTTTCTTATTCGTATGATTCAGAGCTACTCTTCCTAGATTAAGATATGATCAATTAATGCTATTCTGTTGAACTGGTATGTTACCTATTGCTATTGCATTTACAATATTAATACCTAGTCTATTAATAGCCTTTGATTATGTTCCTTTCGTATAATTAAAATTACTCTATTTTCAGGTCCCTAGCCCTAACCTTGTGCAAAGGACAGGTAGTAGATACGCCCCTCACCCTAGCCTACCGTCATAAAGAGGTTGTGGGTCCGGGAGCAGATCTGCTATCCAAACACCTGATTAATAACCCATCACTATCCCTTTCTCTGCCGTAGGCCTGGATAAGGACTAATTTATTAATATAAGAAGAATAAATATTAGCCGATTAATTTACATAGTCTTTTTAGGTCATACATTTGCATTACTTAAGGGAATTTAATAAAGGGGAAATAGGATAATGGTTAGTCATTCGTGTTTGCAACACGAAGGTAGGAGTTCGAATCTCCTTTTCTCCATATAATAAATGGTTTAGCCCTCGCACCAATCCCATACGGGTGAGGTGAGCCGCTACCCTACCTGCCGTAAGGCTCGGGCTAGGGGAGGCTATCCCTTTACCTAGCTTACTGGCTTAAAGGGAGGGGAGGGAATAAAAGCACATAATTTAAAGGTAAAATGAATTTTTGATAAGGATTTTATGGAAGTTCGATTCTTCCTGTGCTTAAGTACAAATAAAGGCTAGCCCTCCTCCGCAGGGACCCGAACAATATAAAGCATCATTAGCTGAATTGGTACAGTGTTTGCCTTCGGAGCAAAAAGTTGTTGGTTCGAGTCCAACATGATGTTCCTTTGTCTATTACACAGGCCCGGATGAATAGTTGCCCTTGCCTTTTAATCCTAATACCTCTATATTAGGTTGGCTTATTAAGCCAGAGCTCCGTCTCCCTAACAATAATAACTATAGCCTAAGTAATAAGTTAAATAAAAATATGAGTTAGCAGTATAATAAAAGAGGTGATAAATATATAATTAGCCCTAGCCCTTTCCCTTACGGGACGGGACCGAGAGAGGGTGGACTATAAAGTAGCCCTAGCCCTATGGGTAAAAAGAACAAGTATAGTTAAGTGGTATAACTTCTGTCTTCCAAATAGAAATCATCAGTTCGAATCTGATTACTTGTACTAATTAAATATAGCCCGGCCTTCCTATGCCGCTCCCGTCCCGTATCCCCAATCCTTCACCTCACCCGTATGGGATTGGTGCTAGGGTGAGGTGAAGGGAAAGAACTAAGGCTAGGGTCATGGGGTAAATATAAGCCTTACTCTTGTCATACTTATCAAATCTAGTTTAATCTAGAGCTGAGAGTAAGATATTAGTTATAGAATAAGACATTCTTTATCTTTTTAAATAAAAAGAACAAATTAAACAGTTAATGGTTATAATAAGTTTAATGATTTTAATTATGGCAATTGCATTAGCACCTCAGTCAAATTCTAGCTTAGATCTAGAACAAGGTAACAATTCTAGTAGTATAGCAAGCGGAGCTTCTAATACTACAGAAAGTTTATCTTCATTAGGTCAAGCTGTTTCAGCTAGAGGTGGAATATCACCTTTATTAATTAGTAGATTAACTTCTATATCATTTCTTTTTTCTGGAGCATTAGCTTATAATGCTTTATATATTCAGTCAATTGGATCAGGATTAAGTATATATAGTGGTTTATTCCAAATAACAGTTTTATCACAAAGTTTTGATCTATTTATATTTGTATTAGCTGCTTTAATCCTTATACCATGATCTAATGGTATAGTTAAAGGAGGACAAGCTCTTAAACCTTTATTAGGTGTTACAGGTCCAGTAGTATCAGAATATTCTTTAATAGTTTTATTTTCAACTTTAGGAAGTTCATTGTTATTAAGTTCAGGTAATTTATTATCTTTATACTTAGCAGTAGAATTACAATCATTCGGAGTATACATTTTAGCTACAATCTATAGAAACTCTGAATCAGCTACAAATGCTGGTTTAAAATACTTCTTACTAGGTGGATTATCATCTTGTTTAATCCTATTAGGTTGTGTATTAATATACAGCTATACAGGTTTAATCTATTTTGAAGATATTTATTCTTTAGTAAGTTCTTTAACTTTAGTTTCTGATACAGCATCACAAGGTTACTTTGATATTGTAACAGTAATTCAGCTAGGTTTAATTTTAATCTTTATAGGATTCTTATTTAAAATAGCAGCAGCTCCTTTCCATAACTGAGCTCCTGATGTTTATAACGATGTTCCTACAATAGTTACAACTTGATTAACAATTATGCCTAAAATAGCTATAGTAGTATTAGCTTTTGAAATTTTAAGCACAATAACACCAAGTCAACCATTAGAATTAGGATTATTAGTAGCAGAAAATGGTTTCTCATCATCATTCACTAACCTAGGACTTGGACTTAAAAATTTACTATTGATAGCTTCATTCTTATCTTTAGTAATAGGTACAACAGTAGGTTTAGCTCAAATTAAAATAAAAAGATTGTTAGCTTATAGTACTATATCTCATGTAGGTTTCTTATTATTAGCTCTATCAATCAATACTGAAGAATCATTAGAATCATTATTATTCTACTTAGTTCAATACTCTATTACTAACTTAAATACATTCTTTATCTTATTAGCCTTTGGTTATATCTTGAAAAAAAGTATTACTAAAGCAGCTTCTACATTAGAACAAGTAGAAGGTAAAGAACCTAATAAATTTGATATCAGTCTTATCTCTGAATTAAAAGGACAATTCTGATCAAATCCTTTATTAAGTCTTAGTTTAGCTGTATCTTTATTCTCTATGGCAGGTATACCTCCTCTAGTAGGTTTCTTTGCTAAAGCTCAAGTATTATATTCAGCAACTCAAAATGGATACTACTTTATATCTATAGTAGCTATAGTAGTAAGTGTAATAAGTGCTTATTATTATCTACAAATAATTAAAGTAATGCACTTTGATAGCCAAGCTCAACCATCAAGTGTAGGGCAAGGTAGTGAAGTAGGAATTACACAGTTAGATACTGTAAATAATACACATAGCTTTATAATATCAACTTTAACATTATCATTATTATTATTTATGTTAAAACCTTCTATTATATTAAATAGCATTCATCTAATTGCTTTAAATATATTCTATTCATAATATGAGCGCATTACTAATGTTATTTTTATTTATTCCAGTATTAGTATTTATTCTATTAGCTTTAAATATTATTTTAGCTATACATAGACCTGATACTGAAAAATTATCACCTTATGAATGTGGATTCACTCCTATTTATGGGCAAACTAGATCTCAATTCTCAGTTCATTTCTATATCGTTGCTATCTTATTCTTAGTATTTGATTTAGAAATCTTACTATTATATCCTATATCTGTTACATTATACCAAGTATCAGCCTATGGATTTACTATTGCTATTATATTCTTTTCTGTTCTTACAATAGGTTTTGTATTTGAATTAGGTAAAGGAGTATTAAAATTCACAGATCATAAATCTAAAATAGTATAACCCCACCTCTCGCCTCTCACCCTAGCCCTATCGGCTGGCACAGGATTCTTATCCCGTTAGGCAAAGAGAAGGAGACATCCTTACGCATATTTGACTATTGTAAAAGCCAACCCTCTCTCTGCCGTAGGCCTACCTTTTGTATCCTTAGGCAGGGCTTAGGTAGCGGCAGAGGGCGAGGTTTTATGAATTGAAGGTAATGAGTTTAATTTAAAAGAGGAAGTTAAATTAATTAAAGCAATAAGTATCTAATTTTACAATAACCTTTGCTTAATATACCATCTTATTCTCTTAAAGAATGAGGTATTCCAATATTGTACCTTCTCCCTTTGCCTATGGTTTCCGTAGGACTCGAGCTAGAAAGGGTTAAGTGTAAATTGAGTTTAAACAGTTTATTATGAGTATAATAATAAGAAAGCTATCATTAAACTGAATAGACCTGTAGCTTCTGCTAAGGCGAACCCTAAGATAGCGAATGTGAATAATTGTCCTCTAACTTGAGGGTTTCTAGCTGTTGAAGCGATTAATGATGAGAAGATTAAACCGATTCCGGCTCCGGCTCCGATTAATCCTGAGCAAGCTAATCCTGCTCCTAAGTATTTTGCTGCGGCTAACATTATTAACTGAAAATTTTTAAGGATACTAAACTATACAAATTAAGTCAATATTATTCAACTTGTGTACGCTACTCAATATTATGCCGGCACCCTTATAGGATCCGTAAGGCACTATTGGCCGTACTATTATAAATATAGTTTATAATAAGCGACTATTTTGTCATTATTTTATCTTCTTTTATAATTCTTTCTGCCTATGTCTAATGGATATAAAGCACAGGTAGATAAGGCCGTACGGATTCTTATCCTTCCCCTATCACGCTACGCTTAAGCAAAAGCGAGGGGCGGGAGAGGGTTATTAATTATTAAGATTTATTTGATAATTTAGTTAAATAAAGTCTAACTACATTTCTGTATGTGAATAAAGGTAAAATATATTTAGACAATACAAAAATTAATACAATTAAAGTTAAGAATGAGAATGATAATTGATTTAAGAAATAAAAAGGTACTAGTTGAGGCATTTATATTTGTTATTTTTAATTTAAAGTTCTTTCTCTACCGCTCCAGATCCGATTGATACAGGCAAGAGGGTTCATGATAGAGCAATCATTCCTGATTAAGTCCTAGAAAGAAGGAGAGCTTTTATACCCTACCATATACTAAATATAAAAAGGAAGGCTCATACTTATTTCTGGATTTAGCCTTCAATCCCTAGCCATAGGCATCGGGGAGGGTAAGCGGAGCCCTTATTCCTCTTCTTTGCCGTTTCCCTGCCTCGCCTTATGGGATCCGTCAGGCGAGGCTAGTGAGAGGCCAGAGAAGAATAGAGCAAGCACTTGTAGTCAACAGGCTGTAGTACAGTCCCTAGGCTATCAAGTATATATACTATACTACTAAATCCGAAAATTAAAGAGACAATTGGCATTTAAACTTATTCGGCTTGGATCAAGTTCCATAATTCCGAGTAACTGTGGTCCTAACCATGCAGAACCACTCCCTAGTCATATTGCTAGGGAAGAGCTAGGAGGGCTAAGGAGAGGGTTAAAGGTAAAAGATATTTATATACAGATTTTACTTGTTGTTCAAACTTTTACGCTATAAGAACCTCTTTTGTTTTTGCTGTTATAAAGAGCATAATCTACAAGGCTATTTTTATCTCTAATAAATCCTCCTATTTCTTTCTGGCTAACTGTTTTTTTAGGTACTACTCTTTCTGTTAGTAATCTACCTGAAATTCTAACTTTTAAACCTGTAAGAACAGTTGGAACAGTTTTATGTATTTTAACTTTCTTTCTGTCAATAACTACACTGTAGAAATCATTATTATTTTTATCTTCTTTAAGATCTTTAGTAATGATTAATGCTTTTTTAATTATTAATCCCATAAGAGATCTAAATCTATTTAAATTACTTCCTAGAGCTAATAGTTTAGATAAAATTTGACTATCTTGATAAGGATATTTTAATCTATTAAGCTGTAATTCAACCTTTAAGTTAAATAACTTAGATAGAGTATTAATTAAAGTTTTTAATTCTTGTGTTAATATTCTAACTGATTTAGAAGGTGTTTTATTGTATTTTCATACATATCTTCTAGATAGTCTTTTAGATGTCTTAGGACTATAGTAATTAATGAATATTACTAATTTATTCTGAGTAAATAAATATATAGGTTTACTAATTAAAGCATAGAAAGTTCCAAAGAAATAGTTTAAAATTCTATTAGCATTATTTATTAATTTTATATAATGATACTTCTTAGAGTTATTATAGAAATAAAAATAGTTTTGAGTTAAAGAATTAGGTTGTTGAATATTACATATATTTTTTATTAATCGTCCCATAGATATTGCAGTACTATGTGCTGATGTTAAAGGAGTACTTGGTCGGTTTTTTATTCCATTTAGGCCACCTTTACCTCCTGTAAGACTAGCTAGACTTAATTTTGTTCTTTTTATTAACATTATTTTTAAGTTGTATTTTAGGGAATAAACCCTTATTATTTAAGTTCCTTCAAGCCAGTTCCCATAGCCCTAATAGGGCTAGGAAAGGCTAGGGATGTTAATACTTATCCTACCTATCTAACCGATAGCTGTACCTTATGATATAAAAATATCTCCGTACAGGTAAGCCAATGGCCTATACCGATTACGAGAGGAATAAGACAAGACATAACATTAAGAAACATTATAAAGTCTTTTTATATTTAAAATAACTTAATTATTCTCCCCCCCACACAATCCTATAAAGCCTAGGAGACTAGGTAAGGGCTAGATATTAAGTTTTAGTTTGAATAAATAGATAAGGACTAGGTACTATTCTTATTATTTCTATCCTTCTTCTGCCTCATTTTGTCCCGTACCCTATGCCTATGGCTAGGGTTTGGGGAGAGAGTTAACGCTTTAGGAGAAACATTAATTGATACCTGGTACAATGAAAAGATTCTTTTATTCCGACCTAGCTCCGGCATCCTGTAAAGAAAGAGGTACTGCGTACCACTCCGATACTGTCGGCTACCTAATACCGAGTCGGGATGGATTAAAATACTTTTAATTTTTTTTATCTACATTTAAGGATAACAAGGGCTCCGGCCTATGGCAGAATGAGCCCTTAATTATAATTAAACAAAGTGCCCTGAGAATGAGTCGAACATTCGTAGCTATAACTTCACTATAGTGCTCTAACCAACTAAGCTATCGAGGCTGTTTATATTTATTTTAATAATGACCGTCCTAGACCTCTCCTTTGCCTGCGGGATTCGTACGCCTCATAAGCCCAATCCTTCACCTCACCCGTATGGGATTGGTGCTAGGGTGGAGTAGGGCTAGTACGGTACCAATAACTAGGAGGGTTAGGGTTAAAATAGAAAATGTATTATTTTCCCACAGGGCTAGTGCTGAAATATACTTATTAAGCCCGTCCCCCGTAGGGATCGGGAGAAAAAAGACCTAAATCTAAGCTTTTTTTTGATTATATGGAACAGCTAAGTCCATTAAAGTATTTTCACATATTCCTGTTGCAGGAACAATAAATAAGAAGAATAAGAAGTAAATAGCTGTAGAAATTTGACCTACTACAGTGAATGGGTATTCAGGATGTTGGCTTCCTAATCACATTAAGATGAAGAAGTTAACTACGAATACTCAGAAGAAGAATTTCATTAAAGGTCTAAATTGGTTACCTCTAATTCTTGATGTATCCACTATAGGCATTACTAATAGTATTAATAATGAGGCAAACATAGCTATAACTCCTAATAATTTATTAGGTATAGATCTTAATATAGCGTAATATGGTAAAAGATATCATTCAGGAACGATAGAAGCAGGAGTACTCATAGGGTTCGCTGGGATATAGTTATCACTATGTCCTAATAAGTTAGGATAATAGAATACCATTACAGATAATACTAAGAAGAATAATATAATAGTTACTAAATCTTTAAATATAAAGTAAGGATGCATAGGAACTCTATCCACATTACCTGTTATACCATTAGGATTACTTGAACCGTGTTGATGTAATGTAATCATATGTAATAAAGCTAAAGCAGCTAAAATAAATGGTAATAAGTAGTGTAATGAGAAGAATCTATTTAATGTAGCGTTAGATACTGAGAAACCACCTCATACTAATTGTACAAAATCTGTACCTACATAAGGTATAGCACTTAAAAGATTTGTAATAACTGTAGCACCTCATAATGACATTTGTCCGTAAGGTAATACGTAACCAAGGAAAGCAGTAGCCATCATTACTACTAAAATTATAACTCCTATTGATCATGGTAATACTCTAGGTGATTTATATGATCCATAGTATAATCCTCTTCCTATGTGTGCATATACAAAAATGAAGAAGAATGAAGCAACATTAGCGTGAGTGTATCTAATAGCTCATCCTAAGTTAACATCTCTCATAATGTGTTCAACACTTGTGAAAGCTAGTTCTACGTTAGGTGTATAGTGCATAGCTAAGAATACTCCAGTTACTATTTGGATACCTAAACATAAAGCCAATAATGATCCAAAATTTCACATATATGAAATACTTGAAGGCTGAGGTGAATCTACTACATAAGAATTAGCAAAACTTAAAATAGAATTACTTTTTAATAATCTCATATTATTATTAATTTTTTTATCAGTTATCAGATTAAATAAAATTATAACTAAGTGACTAGGCCTTAACCCTTCCCTCGCTTTTGCTTAAGCGTAGCGTGATAGGGACAGCCTTACGGATTACGTAGGGCTAGGAAGAGGCTATTATAGTTAATTTTTATTTTATTTCTATTAACCTTGCTTACATTTTATATATAGCTAGTTTGCTTATGCTTCTGACTATATTGGTATTGCTTGGTTAATTTATAGGATTAAAAAGATATATTTTATAGAAACAAATTTATATCTAAACCCTACCTGTTATAAGACAGGTCCTTATTGATCCAACCGATACGAAAAGACTGGATACCGGCTAGCGGGCTTAAATATTGAATGCAAGTGGGCTCGAACCACTGGCTTTCTCCTTAAAAGGGAGACACTCAACCTACCGAGTTCTGCATCCTGTTTTAAGGCTCTCGGTACTCACAGTTTTATTCTAACTCTTTATTCCTGCATATTCTATTTAAGGGTAGGGGGCTCCGCTTGGCTCCGCTTGGCTCCGCTTGGCTCCGCTTGGCTCCGCTTGGCTCCGCTTGGCTCCGCTTGGCTCCGCTTGGCTCCG